TTTAGTTTTATTAAGATAATAAAGCTCAACAAATTATTTTATTTTATTTATTCTCTTTAATTTAATTTAATCTGCTAGTTATTGTTTCTAATAATTGTTTTTTTTTTCATTTTTAGGATTGGAAATATAAAACTTAGAGATCAATTACGATGGGCAACACTTGGATACCACCACAATTGGGATACAAAAGTTTGTTTCTAAATAAATTTATATATTATTATTATATTTGTTCATGCTCAAATTATTTTTTTTTCACAAATTCTTAAAATTTTAATTAAGAGAACGCCATACCTACATGCGTTGTCTCCGTTTTACAAATATAGAACATAGCAAAAACTGTACTTGCGCGGGACAACTTTTCTCCTTCAGTATGTATAGTAGAATTATTAGGATTCCACAACGCATTGGTAAGAATCTAGTCTGTGTCATRGCATCGTTATTTTTTGATAACATAAATATAATTCAAGTTATCACCATAAGAAAATACATTAATTTTTTCATCTAATTATTAAAAAATTATTGGCTTGTGCCATCAAAAAAATAACGATACTATGACACAGATGAAGTTCTTACTTATACATTGTGGAGTTCTGATAATTCTATTACAAATACTGAGAAAGAACAGTTTTTGCTATGTTCTACGTTTGTAAGATGGAAACAACGATTACGAGAGTAACTTTAAAATAATCATGTTTTTTGCTGCTAAATTAATTTTGGTCTTACTTCCTTGGAATATGACTGGACATAATCTAAGCAACACTTATTATACAACATTAACATTTATAAAAATGAAAGAGATTAATAATTTTGATCATACAATTTTAAATCAGGTATATTCTGAAACCTCAAAATCTGAATTTCCAAAAGAATTATCTAAGCTTAGTAAAACCATCATCAATTTATTACAATTCCCTGATGAATTTATGGCAGAAGCAGCTATTGTAAATTTTTATCATCCGTCATCAACACTCTCTGGACATACAGATCATTCTGAGTATAATCTAAACGCTCCACTATTGTCAATCAGGTTAAAACAATAGATACAAAAATTATGTACTTCATTAAATTAACTGAAAATATTATATATATATATATCTTACAGTTTTGGTTTAAGTGCCATATTTCTTATTGGAGGACGTTCATTGGATGACAAACCATCAGCTATACTTTTGAGGTCAGGAGATGTTATCGTTATGAGCAAAGAAAGCCGATTATGTTACCACGGTGTACCAAAAATTCTGTTATCCAAAAATGATCAACATTTTAATTATGAAAATGAGTTGGAGGACCCTTTTAAGAGTTATATGCAAGTTACAAGGATTAATATAAATGTTAGACAAGTAAACAATACCGTTTGAAATTATTAATTAAACAATTAAACTTAATTGTACACCACACTCAAAACAATACATATRAATAAATTATTTATATAATCATTTAAGACTAATATTTATTTCCATTTTGGTATCCTATTTGTATACTAAAGATATGAAATTATATGCAACTACAGCCATTTAATGTATATATATATTTATGTATGTGATGTAATAAATACTAAATAATATCTAAAATAACAAGTATGCCAAAACTTAAAAATA